AAAGCCTCACACATTAACCTGCCCAGATGCTGGAGCATAATGTTGGAGTGGCACCTAGCGTCCGCTATGAACCAGGCGCTGTCTCCACCCGAAGAACGTGCACATCTGCGCCTTGCTTTAGGCCTCCTCCTCCGAGTAGGTGAATCTAAAGGAGCGGGTATAAAGAAGGAGGATTACGATCAGGGTGGGTGGTTGAATACATCACGTTTTAAAAAAAAAAAATAAATAAATAAAGGCTGGGGTGAAATAGCGTTACCGTATGAATAGAGAGAAGAGGAGGAAGCTGAAGAAGAAGAACGCTGGACTTTTACCCGCCGGGGGTTATCTTCCTCGGGCTGGGGAGGTGTTGCCCCCTGTTGCTGGCGCTGCTGCTGTTCCAGGGCTCGTTGAGGCTCAGCCGTGTCCTGGTTCTGTTGTTCCCCGCTGTCTAGCGAATTGTATGCGGCTGCATGATCTTGGTCAGTTGAAAATTCTTCTTGGGGGACAACGTTGGAGCCCTCAGAGTATTGAAGCAGCACGCAGTCCGGAACTGAGTTGAAAACGTTATTATTATTACACGAGGTGAGAACTGTTCTTATTACATATAGTCACACAAGCTCGACCGCAGCCAATACTTACTTTTCTGAGTTAGGGGATGCTGTTGCTGATCACGCAGAGCGCCTGTTTCTTTTTTAGAGAATAGAGAACTTAGTATTTATTTTTTGACGTGAGGCGTGTTTATATATTTTAAACATGATTCTTTTAAACTTACCGGTCGCCTTGCAGTTTACTCTCTCGAGTGTTTGCTCTTCACGTAAAGCTTGTTCATATGCTCTCAAATAGCTGTCTGCCCCCGTGGATAAAAACATTTTATAAAAAATATATTTAATATACAAAGCTTATGATTGGATAACCTTTCACCTAGAACTGTCAAATCGAGTTTGATGAAAGCCGGTATCTATACTGTGTGTGCTAGCTCCCTGCAGATTAGATCTCTGTGATCAGTGTATGAGTGTGTGTGAGTGAATGGATGGATGAGAGGCCAACTGTAAAGAGCTTTGGATAAAAGTGCTATTTAAATGCAACTGTTTATCAGAATAAAATGTAGAACAATTTTTTTTAATTTTCTTTTTTCATTTGTTCAGGCTTTCAGACCTGAAAACAGTTATGATGTACACTCTAAAAGATATGTTGCTTACGAGGTAGGGCAGTCATCTCCTGACCAGCAAGTTGGTGGTTCAACTCCCGGTCTCCCTGCATGCCCAAGTGTCCCTGAGCAAGACACTGAACCCCTAATTGCTCCCGGTCGCTTGACTAGCGCTGTTGTGTGGCAGCCTGTTGTCATCACTGTGTGAATGTTATGGGTGAATGGTGTATCATCTCCTGTAAAGCGCTTTGGCCAGTGCAACACACTGTGGAAAAATGCACTATATAAATACAGTCTATTTAATAAATAATCTGGTTCAGAGTGAACACACTAAACAAGTCTGGATTAACCTGTTATAGGGCCCAAGATCATGTCTCTGTTGTCCCTGAAGACCCATCCACCACTTATGGCTCTCTCTGCATTGTTTATATATCAGTGCACTGTGTAAGTCCATTGTACACAGCAGACTGTGTATACTGCATATACTGTGTCACTGTAAACCCAGAGAGTTGGTAACCAACCATTATATGTTGCTATATTATACTGGAATAAAACTAGAAAACTAAGGTTTTCTGTGGGTTAGTGACTTTAGTGGTAATGTGAGATTTGACTTCAGTTACTTTAAAAGCTTTAGGAACTTTTCATAACTTTAGTTTCCTTTAGCTACTTTTCATACCTTTATTTTCCTTGCTTATATATATATATATTAAAACTGTATTGATGACTGTCAAATTCCACTGAATTGGAACTTTGGAACTGTATGCTGTAACTTTTGTGGAGACATAATGTCTGTACCTTTAGGTAACCAGATGGCCAATTTGACTTTTTAACACAGACCTGTTGGCCTGTTTTGCAACTTCACATAGGCCCGTTTAGCATATTCCAAGTTCTGCTTTGTCATGTAGTATCTTGCAGAGACAGGGGGCCTACAACCTGAGATGACCACCTGTCCTGTTTAACATTTAGGTCCTGCTTTGTCCTGTAATAGCTAACACAGATAGGGGATCTGCAGCACAGACAGTTCAGTATTCAGATTACTAGCTACCACCTGAAAATTACAACATTCACACACATTTGGTTTCTAACACAGGTACAGTAAACTGACTAATAACGAACTAATAACGCATGCGCTGCGCAGAGTGGCAGCAAGTTTCAGCAGCTCTGGTCTCGTCATGTTTTCTTTTGTGTTTTTATTAGGTTTTTCAGTGTTTGCTTTGTGTTATTCTCTTGCTGTAGTCCTTAGTGGTGCTGTGCTACCAGGAGTACAAATTGTTATTGCGTTTGCTTTATGACTCTTACTACTTTGTGAGCTCCGGAGTCAGGAGATGCCGGTCGCATTGTTTACACCCAAAGCCAACTACTAGTACTCAGAAGCGACCAGCCACCTCACAGGGAGAAGCTGAATATTCCCTCGGAAATATGGCGTAAAATGCGGGGCTGCGGGGCTGCAGAGCTGGCATAAAGCGCCGGGAGATGAAACGGAGGTATAAGCCATGTTTACCATCTGTCGTTATGGGTAATGTGCGGTCCCTCTCCAACAAGATGGATGAGCTAACAGCACTAATGAGACTACAATGTGAGTATAGGGAGAGCAGCCTGCTATGCTTCACCGAGACCTGGCTGAACAACAACACTCCAGATTCTATGGTCTCCTTACAAGGACTTACACTAATTTGGGCAGATCGAAGCACGGCTGAATATGGTAAGAGGAAAGGTGGAGGTTTGGCGGTGTACTTTAATAACAGATAGTGCAATCCAGGACACATAACTGTTAAGGAAAAATTCTGTAGCAGAGACATTGAACTATTAGCTATCAGCAATACTACATCCCTAGGGAGCACTCCCATGTGATTGTGGTGATGGTGTACATTAATCCTTCAGCCGACGCTAAGGCTGCATGCGCTGAGTACCATAGCCAGGCTGCAGACACAACATCCACAGGCTTTAAATCTTATCTCGGGGGTCTTTAACCATGCTTCTCGGCCACCCTCCCAAACTTCACCCAGTATGTAAATTGCCACACAAGGGACAATAAAACTCTGGATCTAATGTATGCAAATGCCAGGAAAGTGTACACCTCTGCCCCCTCCCCCCTCTAGGTCACTCTGACCACAACCTTGTTCACCTACTTGCTGTTTATACTCCAGTGGTGAAAAAAAGTGTCACCTCAGGTCAGGTAGTAAAGGTATGGACAGAGGAGGCAATTGAGCAGCTGAGGGAGTTTTCACACCACAGACTGGGACATCCTCTGCAGTCCTCATGGAGAGGACATAGATGGCCTCACACACTGTGTTTCAGATTACATAAACTTCTGTATGGAAAAATGTCAGGGGTTTGGGAGTTTTCAGGTTGGTCTTAAACAGTATTACTGTACATAAGAACAAGTCTTCATCCATGTAACTTTTCTCTACACTGACCTTGAAGGTTTCCACACAGAACACTAGTACTACTACTACTAAATGCACAGTTGTCATTTTGTGTAAAAATGCATTGGCTAAATCAGATAGAAAAACCCTAACACAGCAATTATCTGAATCTGTTTTTTAATAGAGTTGACTCTACCCAGTCCTCAGCCCTCACCGACTTACTTCTCCAGGTCAGTTGTCTCCCTGCAGCCATAGCTGCTCACACCTCAGCTAGACCTTGCCCCTCCTCCCACTGTCACGGGGGTTTCTCAACATCCCACAGCTCCTGAGCAGTCACCACTCACCAGCCCCCGCCACCTCATGGCAGACCAGGTCAGGAAAGAGTTAAGGAGGATTAAGGCCAGGAAGGCCACAGGCCCTGACCACATCAACCCTAGGGTCCTCAGGGAGTGTGCAGACCAGCTCAGTGAGGTGGTCCTGTACATGTTTAACCTGAGTCTTAGCCTGGAGAGAGTCTCAGCCCTATGGAAGACATCCTGTGTTGTCCCGGTTCCCAAAATACATCATCCTAAGGAGCCAAACCATTACAGACCCATTGCCCTGACCTCCCACCTGATGAAGACCATGGAGAGGATTGTCCTCAACCACCTCTGTGCCCAGGTGAGCTTGGTGCTCGACCCACTGCAGTTTGCCTACTGTCCTGGCATCGGGGTTGATGACACCATTATCTACATGCTGCATCAAGCCCTGTATCATCTGGAGTCCCCCAAAAGCATGGTGAGGGTCATGTTCTTTGACTTTTCCAGTGCTTTCAACACAATCCATCCGTCACTGCTAAGGGGGAAGTTGGAGGGGGCAGGTGTGGTCCAACACCTGTCCGCATGGACCATTAACTACCTCACAAAAAAACTCAGTTTGTCAGGCTGTGTGACTGTGTGTCAGACGTGGTGGTCCGCAGCACAGGGAATGGTGCGTTCCCCCTTTCTGTTCCACCTCTACACGTTGGACTTAAAGTACAACTCCCACTACTGTCACCTACAAAAGTTCTCTGATGACACCGCCATTGTTGGATGTGTATCGGGGGGATGAGCAAATGTTCTCTGATGACACCGACGTTGTTGGATGTGTATCGGGGGGATGAACGGGAATACAGGGGTGTTGTTACTGACTTTGTGAAGTGGTGTGAGGAAAATCAACTGGTCCTGAACACCAGTAAGACTAAAGAGATGGTGATTGATCCCCGGCGGAAATCACCAGCACTCACTCCAGTGAGCCTTCAGGGCTCAGTCATTGAGATTGTGGACACCTTTAAATAGTTGGGGTCCACCTCAACAACAAAATGGATTGGACTGAAAACACTGATGCCCTGTACAAGAATGGCCAGAGCCGCCTCCACTTGTTGAGGAGACTGAGGTCCTTTGGTATGTGGGGGGCACTCCTTTGGACTTTTTATGATACTGTAGTGACATCTGCAGTTTTTTATGCTGTTGTGGGCTGGATGGGAGGTAGCATGGACAGGGACAGAAAGAGACTAAACAAGCTGGTCAAGAGAGCTGGGTCTGTCCTGGGCTGCCCCCTGGATTCCATGGAGGAGGTGGCGGACAGAAGGATGCTGGTAAAACTAACATCCATCATGCACGACCCCTCCCATCCCCTGCACCGCATAGTAGAGGCTCTGAAAAGTTCCTTTAGCACAAGACTGTTACATCCCCAGTGTAAGGAGCATTACCATAGGTCGTTCCTCCCCACACCTATTAGACTGCACAATGCATCATTGCAGTGATAAGCTAGGTGAAAGTATGAGGGACTATGTAATAGTCTATTGAGGTGCAATACTCAAATCCTGGGGTAAAATGCATGGTTAATATGCACATATGTAAATTCTGTTCTTGATTATTCAAATACTTGATTCTGTCTATTTTTGAGTACTTGGAATTTATTTATCAGGATGTGTGTGTTATGTTGTCTGTTCTCTATTGCTGCTTAAGGTACTGAAATTTGTTATATCAAGATATGTGTGTGGTGTTTGTTTCTCATGGTGTTGTGTTGTTTGTTCTCCATTGCTGCTGAAACACTGAAATTTCCTGATTGAGGGATCAATAAAGTACCTACCTACCTACCTACCTACCTACCTTACACTGTTCCATGATCATTTCTACTAGTGTGAACACCCTGAATACTTCTTCACCTACCTACCTGTTCCACTTATCCACTTCAACCCTTTCCTTCTCACTACTGTTCATCTGTCTCTGTCTGACTTTGCTTCTTCTGCCTGTGACAATTGTGCACCTCAAAAAACTCACTCAAAGTCTATCACACTAT